TGGCGTACAGCGCGGGGAACGAGGGTCCCACATCGGCCACCGTAGTTAATCCGGCTCCGTGGACAATCACGGTCGGTGCCAGCAGCATCGACAGGGTTTTCTCGTCAGCAGTCGTGCTCGGGAGTGGCGCCCATATCAAGGTGACTACTGACTGGAATTCTAGCAATTTGATATTTTTTTGCTGTTAAAATTTTCAAGTTGACCATCTTAAATTTTAGCAAAATATTAAATTACATAACCTTCATAATTTCTTCATAATTTAATAGGACCGACAGACGAAAATAAACAATTGGATTAATTAATAGTTCCTTTTTCTAGGGCCAATCAATGTCTACTTATGAGATGGAAAACAAGATGCATCCATTGGTTTTCGCGGGTGATGTAACCATGCCCGACGTGCCCAAAAATGAATCCGGGTTCGTTTAGTTACTTTTATTTTTTAAGGGTTCTTTTTTACGACTTAATTAACCAAACCTGATGGAGGCTCATCATTGTACCAGGCAATGTTTACCAGATTCCCTTTCTCCTGACAATGTGAAAGGTAAAATCGTACTGTGCTGGAGAGGAGACGGGTCGAGAGTCGGCAAAGGCGCGGAAGTGAAAAGAGCCGGCGGCATTGGTTATATCTTAGGAAATAATAAAACTTACGGGAACCAATTATCTGCCGATTCCCATGTTCTTCCAGCAACGCACGTTACGTACGAGGATGCTCTCCGTATTCTGGAGTATATAGACACTGCAAAACAACCAAGCGCGCTCATCACGCCAGCTAAGACGGTTCTGGGCAGCACAAGGGCACCTGTCATGGCTGATTTCTCCAGCAGAGGTCCCAGCATAATATCACCCCAAATTTTGAAGGTAGAATACTTAGTTTAATTATTGTGAGTAAATTTTTTTATTTTTAGTCATTTTCTTGTTCATTGTGGATCCATGTATAGCCGGACATCACGGCTCCAGGATTTAATATACTTGCTGCTTGGAGTGGAGCATCTTCTCCGACAGGTTTGCCCGGAGATAATCGGGTTGTAAATTATAATATTGTATCGGGCACATCTATGGCCTGCCCGCACGTAGCAGGCGCTTTGGCCCTTCTCAAGGCCGTTCATCCCAACTGGAGCAGCGCCGCATTAAGATCAGCTCTCATGACTTCCGGTATATATGCATTTTCGCATCAATTGAATATTTATTCTAACACAAGTTAAAACGTTAATCAAATTATTTTACATGATTTTATTGCAGCAAGGTTGGTCGACAATGAAGGGAAACCCATTACGGATGCATCCGGAAGCCAAGCTGGCCCGTTCGACTTCGGGTCGGGTCAATTCGACCCAAACAGAGCAATCGACCCGGGGCTCGTGTATGATGCAGCTTACGAGGACTACCTCGTCTTCCTATGCGGCATTAAGGTTAAGCTTGTGAAACGTATAATTATCACGGAGTGCGCTTATTGGTGGTACGAACTGAAATAAGAACTGAATAATGCGGAAGCAATAAACCGAAGATTTTAAAAACTCTTCAGGGAAGCGTCCCACTTCTCCTCAGAGCTCTTTCATTGATAAACCGTTCACACTTGTATAGTTTGGACTTACACGACTCGATCCCTTCTAGTCTAGCCACAACTACACACGATCCTATCAATTACTTCTCCGGCCAC